CCGCGCCCGCCAGCCGCCGCCGCCGCTCGCGCGCCATCCGTCCTGCGCTCCCCGGCGGGCGCCCTGGCGTGTCCCTGCGCCTCTCCCGGCAGGACCCGCGCCACCTTCGCGCCCCGAGGCACCCTGGGAAGGCGAGTTCCTGCCGCTCGAGGCGTGGCCTCGCCACCGCACGTGATTGTGTGTGGGGGGCGTTTCGGTGAGCTGGCCAGAGCGGCTTCCTCGTGGCCTCCCGTCCCGCAGGAGCCGGCCTGGCTGCTTGGCTCCCGAGCCCGGAGGCTCAACCGGCTGAGCGCAACGGAGGAGAGTGCGGGGAAGGCGAAGCTGTTGCGGGCAGGGACGGCTGAGCAGGGCCCGGGAAGCCGCCTTAATCGGGAGCGAAGCGACTCCGATTTGGCCTCGCAGGGCGGCGCCTCCCTCCTCCTTCCCCCCGCTGGTTGCAACCTCGGCTGTTGCTGGGGATGCGAAGGGGCGGCTTGTTCGAGAGAGGAGCCCGGCCTTCCCTGAAGACCATCCCCCGCTTTCCCTTCGCTTTTCTCCATTATGTAAACGGACCGATCTTATCGCAGCCTTTGACGGAGCGGCTAAATCGGTGAACGAGGGAAATGAGAGTTGGAAGAGACCCTGGAGCCCTCCTGTGCAACCCCCTCCTCAAACAGGAGAACCCAAAGCATTTCAGACAAACGGTAGCAGTCTTCCAACGTCTAAGGGGCTGCCACAAAGAGGAGGCGGTCAACCTATTCCCCAAAGCTCCCGAAGGTCGGACAAGAAGGAACCGATGGAAATTCATCAAGGAGAGAAGCAACCTGGAACTAAGAATAAATTTCCTGATAGTGGGAACGATCAGTGGAATGGCTTGCCTTCAGAAGTCACGGGTGCTCCAACACTGGAGGATTTTAAAAAGAGACTGGACAAGCATTTGGCTGAAATGGCATAGGGTTTCCTGTTTGAGCACAGGGTTGGACTAGATGACCTCCAAGGTCCCTTCCAGCTCTGTTGTTCCGTCTGTCAAAATCACAAGAAGTTATAATACTGCTTTATATCACACTGGTGACAGTTCTGGCCACCGTACAAGAAAAGATACCGAGACCCTAGAAAGTATGCAGAGAAGAGCGACGAAGATAAAAGGTCAGGAGGTTAATATGATGTATGGTGAACGGTTGAGGGAGCTGGGTACATCTAGCCTACTGAAGGACTAGTGGGGACAGGGTAACCATTCCAGTACTTGAAGAACCGTCACAGAGATTATTCTCCAAAGCATCAGAGAGCAGGGCAAGGGTGGGTGCTTGTTAAGGAGAAATAGAGCCTAGAAGAATTTAAAAAACGAAGCAGCTCGTCTCTGGGAGTTGTGGCCGCTCCATCACTGGAGGTCTTCAAAAACAGGCTGGGCAACCGTTTGACCGGGATGGTGTAAAGCTCCTGCCTTGACCGGAAGAGCCTGAGGTCCCTTCCAGCCCTATGATTTTATGCACTAAGATCTAAACCTATAATTTCACAACTGAGCATTTCATATGGAAACGGCTCTTTCTTTGAGTCTATTCAGGAGTTTCAGCTGCACATTGGGAGGGGGGGCGTTTCCTTGTAAAAGACACACAACATTTGTGTTTTCGTGAGTCAGATGCCACTCTGGCTTCCAAAAACAAATGACCAAATAGCTGTTCTGTTTGCAGCAAGAAATGAGATGCCGGAGCCCTTTGGGTGCATCATTTATTTTAATTTTCCATTAAACTCGCCCATCCCCACCACCTTTGCCTGCAAGACCATTAAGCATTTTGGCACAATTCCCTCCGGCCCTGATGTCCATTTGCTCCGCCTCTCTGCCAGCCGTGGGCAGCGCCAAGCAGAAGCAGCTCCCCATTAACCCTGGCAAAATCGGCTGCTCCCTCCTCAGCCCTCAACCCAGCCAGCCCCCCGCCTGCATCTGTGGGTGGCGAGGGGGCTTCAGGGGGTCCTGGGAACAGGAGGTTCTTTGGCTGCAGGGTGTCCAGCTGACTTCCCACAGTGCTTTGG